AAATCAATAATTTTCAACTTTATGCAAATTACATTGTAAAAATATTACATCAGCTATATTGAGACAAAAAAAAAAAAAAAAAAATTTTTAATTATCTTCGTAGAATCGTACCTTTAAAAAGATATCTGTTAATTTGAAAGTATTCGATTAAAAAGACATTTCAAGATATAATAAGGCGTTATGTTGTTTTCCTTTCTTCACATAAGCAAAAGCGATAAATCTATTAATTTTAAATCTACGTAGGACCATAAATTATAAATCTTTCTAAAATGTTGGTATTCTTGCGATTCTCTATATGCGTGCCCTCGATTTTTCTTCTTTGTTTATGCTCTTTAATGTGCTCACACGCACTCCCGGTACAATAACACCGCACAAGATATTTTAATTGCCCAAACGTTACATTGTGAATTCAAGACAAGCGTGCCTTCACGCATTCGTGATACAAGAATAGATATATGTATATCGCCTCTTTGTTTTCCCTTATCATCCGCATACAAGAGACTTGCGAATACAGTGTAATAATTTTCACTTTACTATCATGCTGAAATAATTATATACTTATTGGCAATTTTCATTTTTTGTTTTTGTTTTACAGATTTAGAATTGATCTTACATTTATTTGTAAGTATGAAGAAATGCGTAAGTTCATTATATTGGCTACAATATTGAAAAATTATATACTTTTCGCTATATGTACTCTTACGCTTCATAATAAAATATTTCTCTAATCCAACTATTTTCAGAAACATAGATTAGACGAATAACTTAATTACATTTTCAATTAAATTTTTTAATTGGTCGAATAAATTTATATATTCATACTTTACACTAATCATATATATTCTTTGAGCTTCAATGAAAATCTGATTTATTTATATATTTTTTTATATTTTTATTCTTTAAACTTTTGTACATATTTTTCATTATAATTGTTATATTATTTCATTTAATGTCAATATTTAATATTATTAAAGGACTGGATAACAATATTATGCAATATGATATTTATGATTTTATTAATGAAATCATCTAATGCAAAATTTAATATTTTCACATAGTGATTCAAGCTAATCTTTTTTATCATACGAACAAATGCAAATGACAATAAAGGTGTATTTCAGTATTTCTTAATATACTTTGGTTAGCAATTTTGAATCAGCAATCATTAGTCATAAAGAAATTTTCTAAATGAATATAGACCTTGATTATGAAATACAACGTTAGAAAAACAAAAAAAAATTATCTAGACTGCGCAGGTTATGAATTAAAGCCTCGACTCTGATGTGGGAGAAGTTTTTCAAACGAATACGTAACTACTCATATTCATACACTATAACATCATTTAGCTTAGCTAGGGGACAAAAAGGAAAGAGAACTATTTTTTCGGCTGCTTCGTATTCAGATAATTCTTAAACTCCCACAGAGATTTGAATCACATCATTGGACTTTACGATTTCCACACAGTTGGCCCAATACAAGTGTATTTTTTCATTCGGGATGCTAAACTTCACTCGTGTTTTTAAATTGTATATTCAGGGTCGACGGACGCGTTCCATATTTTGTATCTATCTATCTATATATATATTATTTGTTATTCTATTTCTACGTTATTTACGTAATTTAATTAATTTTCGAATAAATGTAACCTAAGCATATTTTATATATATATTGATTTTTTGTATTAATACAACAGAAGTTTATAAAATATATTTATTTTAGAAATTATTTTTAAATATTTATATTTACAATTCTTTATTAAATAGTTTGAATTTATGCAAATTTATCTCTAGTATTTTTATGTAATTAACAATAATTCTGTATTTAAAGAAGCTATGCGAAGCTTAGACAATTTATAAAATATCTATAATTTTAAATATGCAAATTATCAAAATAGTTATTTAAATTAAAAATTCCAAATTATAAATTTATACAAATATTTATATAAATTTGTTTAAATTCGTGAAATGTAAAATTGGTCTATGTAATCGATCTATGTATTGTTCGTGTGTAACTAAAAAAAATTACAAAGTAGCACTAAAAGATGCATTAAATAATCATTATAGCACACAAAAATTTGTATAATTTATTTGTATGTAACTTTTTCACAATGTAATTCAAATTTTATACTTTACTAAAACTTAAAAATCTTGACTTTCGAAAGTTAAACTTGGAATATGATTTTCAAATCGATAATCTAATAAGAAAGCTATGGTTTTTAGAAATATTATCAGTATTTAAAATTTATATGAAATACTTTATCTATTCAATACAATATTTATTTATATATTACTTTTTATAAGTACAACTACTAGGTATAATTTTAATAAAAATACATGATAAATGAATCATTAATGGAATGTTAATCAATTAATTAATTAATCAATTAATTTGATTAAGAATTTGTTTAATGTAAGAAATGTTTTGTAAGGTGGATAAAATATATAAGAACTTGACATCTTCGTACACTATAAATTTTCATCATTTATTAATACAATGTTAGAAAATATTTTTATTATTTAAATGCCATTTAAATAGCATAATATATTTATATATTGCAGAGTATCAACGGAAAGTATGTTATTTAATTAAATACGCTATGATATTTCAATTTTCATATCAATATTGTCACAAAAATCTTAAAAACTATAATGAAATGTTAGTATTTCAATTATGATGTTACAATTATGATTTTAATGTAAATATAAAAATGTTATAATTATTTATATTACATTATTTTAACTATAGATTGCTCAATATTGTAAACAATAATTATTTTAATGTTAAAAAATAAGGTACAGTCTACTGAGTTCTTGAAGCTTGAGGGTAAATTGCAAAGATTTTGCAAATGTATTGCAAGATAGTGCGTTGAACGTAATATATATGATCTTCGTACTCCAACTCGGTTCATCATACGAACTTTAACGATCCTATAAAAATAAATCTGCTCCTTTCTTTACCTTCAAATATTTTGGTTCTCCTTATTCCCGTTGCCTTCAATGGGGCGTTCATCGGTATTCATTTAATTTTTCCTTATAACATTTAATACTACAATGTGAGTAATTCATTGCTACACGTGTCAAATACTTTATATAGATACGTAATTTATATTTAACTATTAATATAATTATTATATATTTTTTACACAATTATAGTACATTAATTTTTATTAATTTTGTTATATATTATGGCTTATATTAAATCCACGCATGTATTTATAATTGAATAAAACAAATATATATATAAGGAAGTTGTTATTGTAATTGCTTTATCGTATATAACTGCACAATATGTCGTAATATAGCAAATTTCATTCTTTTAAAAAATTATTTTAATATAATTATTTCGGATTATATAGTAATAAATCTACGTACTTGTAGATTTATCACTTTTATTCATATTGCATGGATATATCTGTATTTTAATTGAATTTCTCATACATGTAAGGGCTCGTTCAATTTTTTAACATCGAAAGGTGTGAGACACGAAGAAATAACATTTTTTTATAGGTACCGGAAGGGTTCGGAAAAGGATAGATTTGTCTGGTGACAAATGATGCAGACAAGTTTTGCAGTGGAATAAAATAAAAATCGAAAACAAGCTAATTGTAAAATAAGTTTTTGAAACTCAAATTTTTGTTTTTTTATATCGTTAGTTTATTTTTTTTTCTGTGATCATGAAAATCATGAAAATACGGTCTAAATTTGCTAAAAATTTATTAATTTTAATTTTTCGTCACGTACAATAAATCACTTTTGCTCTTTTAATTCTGCTTAAACTACTTCATTCTTTTTCTTCGACTAAACTCATCTTCGTATAATCAATAATTGCATTGGTAAATGATTTTTTAGCATATGTTTTATGTTGCTAATGTCCGGGAAAAAAAGTAATACTAAATGCGAATAGATGTTTATCATTGCGTAATCAATAGTTGGATGCGATCTACGCGTAGTGATTTGGAAGATATTAAATACAATGCATTAATAAGATATAAACATCATTGTTTATGTATGAAATAATAATTTTCTTAAGAAAATTGTTTCATATTGTTTACAGTTAAGGTAGGTATACATATATATATCATTTCAGATTAAGTTTGTCCATATAAATAATTAAAATTTTATAAAATTATTAAAATTTTTTTTACAATAATTTATATATTCATATTTATAATTGAAAATATGCTGTACAAATATTTATAGAAACATAATTAATTAATAATATATATATATATATATATATATATATATATATATATATAATATCAGAACATTTTTCAATTGATAATAATTATTTTAATAAAAGCGTCAGTTTCAATTATAAAATCAATCAAATGTAATTATGAAGTTATATTATATAGTCATCCTATACTTGATATATTGTTTCAATAATATAATTATTTATTAAAAGTTCATATATACTAACTATAGCGAAAATTTTTGTTTGATTTATTAAAAATAGAGTATAAATTTACTTATATTTACTTACGTGTTTGTATATTCCCGTATTATAATAAATTTAATATTATTATATTTAAATATAAATAAATTTAATATTATTATATTTAAATATAAATATTTATTTATTGTAAAAGTTTCATATTATATATGTAAGTGTTTGTTTTATTAAAATAACTGCCTTATTTACATTAAAAATAATAATAAAAAAAATAATAACTTTGAATGAAATATAAAATAATACGTTGATTGCATGTTTATATATTTACAATACTAGAAGGAAGCAAGAAACGCTGAATATAAAAATGAACACGATATACATAGTAATCAGATCTGGATATACTTTTAATTAGTTATGCAAATAGCTGAAAATTACTTGCAGTATTATACTGTATGTGAGTGACGCGTATTGTATTTTTATTTATTTATTTATTTTTTTCATTGTGCATAGAGACTGAATTATTGATCGAATAAAGCCAATAAAAAAGAAGAACTATCGTGATTTTTACTTTTACTAGTTTTTATGCAAGTAACAGCGAAAAAATTATGGATATTTTAACAAGCAAATACTATTTTCGTTGCAACAAATTTTTAAGATTTTGTGGCCATTGGCCTTATCAAAAACCAATAATTAAAATTCTTAATCAAACATTATTAATGATCACAATCTTAACTATCTTTATACCACAAGTACATTTCACATAATGTTCAACATTATGAAATTTTTTCATTTTAAATATAAGTTATAATATTTCAGATGATAAAAATGTTCGAGATGAGACACGACTTCCAAGGCTTTATTCTGAGTATACCATCATTTTTATATTATGGGAATTTTATTTTTAAAAATATTTTCGCTACGATACTAAGAAAAGAGGTTTTACATTTATAACTTTTATAAGTCTTTAATTCCATTTTTATATAATTTTAAATGAACAATAGAAAATTTATTATAATAAAATTAATTTATATAAATTATTAGTTATCTAAATCAATGATAATTCAATATATATGTTTATCACAGATCAAAAAAGTTTTAGAACAAATTAATTATGATTTTAAAGTACTTTATGATAAAGATTTGAAAATTCTTGATAAATATTATAAGAAAGCTTATGACATTAACACTTATTATATAGGTAATTAAAAACTATCTATCATGATTGTAAATCAATTTTAAAAATGAATTTTATTTATACAAACATTAATATGAATTTTTTTGTTATCAGTATACATGTTAGTAGCTGTATTTTTTTACAGTATGCTACCCTTCACGTTGCATACAATGGACATTGTGTTTCCAAAAAATGAATCACGGCTTCCACAATCGCCAAGGCTAATAAAATATTACATTAATATATTTGATGATAATATATATTTCATTACATTTCATGGCTTTTTATGTGACACCTTATCAATAATTTTTTTACTAGGTTTCGATACTCTTTACTTTACATTTGTGTATCATGCTTGTGCTCTTTTTGTTATCGTAACGTAAGTAATAAAAAAAAAAAATAATATATATATATATATATATATATATATATATATATAATTCGTTATTATATTTTTCGGCATTATACGACTATTTTAAATTCTTATGTGAATCAGAACAAATCTGCATGATTCGATTATTATGGTGAATCAATGTGCTAATATTGAATCAAAGGAACATCATAAAAAGAAAGAAGAACTATTTAAACAGAAATTTTTTAAATGCATAATTCTGCATAAATATACATTAGAGTTTAGTACAATAATTTAATTTATTATATAATAGTTATTTGGATAATAGTTACATTCAATTAAATTATATTCTTCTTTTAAATAGATTTGTAGATAAGTTACAATCTGGATTTTCAAACCTCAATATTTTTTCCATTGTATGCGCTATGATACCATTGACTATTACAGGCTTTGAAGTATACTAATTTTCATAAAATTCAATTTTATTGTCATATACTCTTTTATAAATTTGGTTAAAATATTCTATTATTAGGCTATATTGTATAATAAGAACCTCAGTCAAATGGTTCGTTTCATATTTTTTGCGGTTGCAGAAATAATTCATCTTTTTTATTATAATTGGCCTGGTGAAAAGATACAGGAGCATAGCTTGTTGGTTTATAAAGCGTGGTAATTAAATTTTCATTATATGCAGAAGATATAAGCGCATATATATATATATATATATATATATATATATATATATATATATATGCGCTTATATAATTTTTATTTATTGTTTAGTTATAATTGTAAATGGTACGAGAATTCTATATCAAATAAATATAAAAGATTATTAAGTTTCATGATACTCAGGAGTCAAAAACCATGTCTCTTAACTGCTGGAACAATATATATTCTTAACATGGAAAATTTTTCTGCAGTAACTAATATGATTATAAATTTCTTTAATATTAAAATGACAATATCGTTAAGTTTTCTTTGATACTATTTTAGGTGATAAAAGTATCAGTATCGTACTTTACAGTTTTGTCATCACTTATGTCACCATAAATCATTCGAAAAAAGCAGAATTATTTTTAAATTCCAAGATATTCGATAGATAATAACAATAATTATAAAGCTTAAAGAATAACTAAAAGAATATATCATCTAGGACTGAAGATTTGTCTCTGATATACTAATCAACGGTTAATAATGTTTTGGGACTCAACACTTATGTAATTAGAAGAATTTAAAAATAATTTCTTATTGTATATCAAAGTCATGTATATTGATAAAGTAATTTTAGAGATTAGAAAATATGTAATAGTAAAATTAGTAATAATAAATCGAAGTATAAATAATAACAGGTTTTTTTTTTTTGTAAATTGAAATTCCAAATGATAGCATTTGTAAAACACGAATTTTTTTTAAACTCTTCTAAAATTTTGTAAAAAAAATTTTACAACAATCAATTAATTTCCTTAATTAAAAATATGAATTTTATTAATTATACGTATACGCATGAAACATTATTATTTTAAGAATTATGGTAATCTCATGAAGTGAGATTGAATCCTTTTTCTGATTTTGAGTTAGATTCGGCAACGTTAAAATATAGGCTTGAAATGTATCTAAATAAAACTATTAATTGTATTCATTATACTATTCATTATTTTCAAAAATGACATTTTATACAATAATTGATATAATTTAAATTATTATTTCTACTGTTATGGTGCGTTTAAATTTTTGAGTATATATATTTATATATATATATTTTTTTTTTATGAATATTAAGATTTATTTTCTTCATTTCATATTATAATAATTTAAGATACTGAATTTTTTCTTTTCTTTTTAATGATATTTCTCTTAAAATAAGTTCATTTTTATCGTCAATTTTATTTGTAATATACTTTTTTTTATGCAAATGATTTTTAAAAATTGTATTTGTAATTAAGTATTTGTAGAATTACTTAAAATATAAGTTAGGTAACTAAATATCTGAATAAGAACAATTATAGAAATAGCAATTAAATAATATATTTTTTATTTTAAAATTCCGTTTCGAATGAAAAAATTTATACAAGTTACTAAAATTTTTTTATACAGACAAGTACATAATTTAGAATATTTATATGTATTTATAAACTTTATATTCTTATAAATAAATTATTATTTATTTATTTATTTATTTATTATCTTTTAGATAGTATTAAATAGGATCAATTAAAATATTTGTGATGTATCTATATTTAAATAAAGGAACATAGAACATATTAATCTAAACAATGTATACCAATTAAGTGATTGTTATTTAAACAAATATATTTTTATTATTAAAATTATGTTTAATAATTAGGTTATTATTATACTAATTATACAATCGACGTACTTATATTTTTATTTTTATTTTATTAATTATTCATTATGGTTTATGAATTTTTTCCAGTATAAATATCTGAATATTTGACCTTCAATAATTTTTATTCAGGGAGATCAGAAATGATGGATTAACCTTTACAATCTCTCAGGTTATATGTAAATGGATTTGCCGCTGTCTCTTGCATACAAAAATACATTCAATATAATAACCGAATGTAAAAAATAGTTGATAAAAGCATATTAATGTTATCTTATGAATTTAAATAATTTTCTTTTATTTAGTTGGTATACACCAATGATGTCTTTAATGCGTAATGATATAGTTAATGAGATTTATTTGATATTATGCTATACTGTTAGATTATTGTTTATTCAATATTGCACAGATTTTACTTTTATTATTTGACTCTTAAAAAAATGTTTATTTAAACTCGGATGTTATTTACTTATTTATTTATATATTTATTTTACGTATAAAATAATCGCATACATATTTAACATAGAAATACATTTTACATATTAAAATAATAGATACAGAAAATTATAAAATGAAATCTATTAAACGAAAAATTGTACAAACATTTATTAATTATTTTATATGTTGACGATATTGATTAATATCGTTAGAACTGCAAAACTTATTAGAAAAGGTTTAAGCAGTTTAACAAAAAATCTAATTTTTGTCAATTCAATATAAAAATCAATTTAAATTAATAATCTAATATATATAAATATATATATATATATATATATATATATATAATTATCTATTAAACTTGCATATTAAATAAGAATTTCAGTAAAAATATACATTAGCAAAACAATAAATTATATCAAAATATTATATTTGATATTTCAAAGTGATACAAAAGAATATTGAAAATGAATTGCAATTGTAATATTACAAAAACTTGAGAATCAATGGATGAAAATTAATTAGTTGTATTTATTTATTATGAATCTAAAACCTTACTATTTATTATTTAATATAATACTATTTGCGTGATAAACATCTCAAAAATTGACCTTCAATAGCAAATCTTTTAATTTTTAATAAAACAAATTTATCAACACCGATATGTAATGATAAATAAAGTATAAAAATGCAACCAAAAATAAATAAAAATTTTATTTCAATTTCAAAATGTTTTTTGCTGTAGGTAAATATATTAAATTTAAAATATTAAAAAATATTATTATATTGGATGTTATTTACAATCTTTTATTTCAAATATAAATTTTATAATTGATTTTATTTCAATATTTATATAATAATTAGTAATAAAGAATCATTTATTTCAATATAATAGTACTTGAAATGTTATGCAATATTTAAAGATATTTATAATAGTAAATTATTATGATGAAAATAGAAAAGATTTTTTATATAAAATGACTCGCGACATAAAAACATAATAAACATCATTCAATGTTTTACATATTATATAAGATAATTTTTATATTATTATTAAATACATTAATACAAAGATATTTGTTATATTATATCATATTATTATATATTATATGTAAAATATTTAAACACGTATAATCAAAATAATGTACTTTGATAAGTAAAGAAATAATTCTAGTCTATAAATGAACTAAGCAATATGAATTCAAAGATAATTAAAAAATGAGAAAATATCGAGACAATTACTAATAATCCAGACAATATATTTATAATTTTTTACTTAAATTTATTCCATTATTCTACTTACTAGTATAACATATGAGGAATTGAGAGACCAGTCATATTCATATATTCTACATGTTGTGAATATATGATTAATGTATTTTTAAGAATTACAAGTATATTATAAAGATTTAAATTGTAAATTGAGCAAAATTTTATATGCTTAATAAAATTTATTAGTTTTATTTATAGATATGGGAAAAGATCGAATAAAATTTTAGTAATATAATTCCAAAATTGATTATACGTCAGTGTCTGTGAAAAGTGTATTTTATACATATTAGTATGTGTATACAATGAACTATTTATGCAAATTGGTATTAAAGACCGTTTGTATAAAGCAGTGTTTCAGTAAAACATCTCATATACTTTTTATGTAAAAAATATTTTGAAACAAGTGTGTAATTTCTTTTCCATTACCCTATGTATATAAGCCTTAACGTAGTTGAAAGATAATACACTTAGAATATTCAAGATATATAAGATTACATGAATCCAGTATGTAATTGTTTACGTAATGAATATACAGCATTTTTTGATCAGTTATGCAAATAACATAAATGTTTTTCCTCTGTCTGCACATATAGTAGTTATAGCATTATTATATCAAGAAAGAGTATTAGATTATTCATATATGAATTTATAAAAGGTATAATATAAATCCATTATCTGAATAACTATTTAATATTATAATATACTCATTGAAATAAATAATACTCATTAAAATTAATTGATAATGATGTAAAGATTTGAAAATGTGAAGATATTAAAAAAAAATAAAAAAAATATATATATATATATATATATATATTATAAATGTTAACTAAAAATATATTTATAAAAACTTGAATATAATGTCTTATAGAATTTTAAAAATAATTTATCTAATCTATATAATTAAAGTGTATACATAGATATTAACTTACTATTCAAATGTAATAATATAGTGTAAGTTTTGATAAATTAAATATTTAAAACATATTTATTTGTTTAAAAATATACCATTCAAAAATCAAAAAAATAACATTTATAAAATAGTACATCATCCAAAGTTTTTAAACTCATTTGTGAATATGAAGTTAAAAGAAAACAAACAAAGTGTAAGTAATTCCAATATTATTAATATTTTCTTGTAGTAATTTGTTTATGTTCATTATATATTATTTCATAAACTTTTGTATTACACAATCAAATTAAAAATAACGTTTTTTCAACTAAAACCTCTATTTTCAATAGCTTATATAAAACTATTAATAATGTAAGGATAAGTTGATACGTGTAGTTTATTAATGACAGTCGACATTGTTCTCAAATATTCGTAGTTCATGATGTAGTTGCATCATAAATATTTCTGTCACGGTAAATTTTCAGAAAACTAAAGTAATTATTGGAATTAATTATACACTTCAAATCAAAAGATTATCGTAAATTTTCGTTCGATCGAATCAAGGAAAATGTATGTTTTTCCATTACACTTTTAAAATTATTAAATCATCTTGGAAGATCTGGTTCACATATTTGGTGAGATTTTTAGATTTTATATTTATAATATTTTTTTATATCTATTACATAATAATTAGATATAATTTACAACTTTTATTATAGTACATTTTTAATCAGTTATATTGATTCTTATTGCATAATACTTGAAATGTAAAAAATTTGACATTCAATAGAGTTTTTATACAATAACAAAGCAATTATACTATAAAAAATTAACAAATCTACACAGTTACAATAATATTCGTCTATTTAATTATACTTAATAGCGTAAATATAAATGTACGTAGAAACTTTTAATAATAAATTTCAAAGTTAAAAATGTATATCTATAACATCAGAAATGCAAAATTATAAACACTTTTATGCATGCAGTAAAAAATGAAGATATTTTCTTGAGTCAAATATTTTATTGTTTCTTTAAATATTTAAGTACATAGAGTTTAATGCTTTTATAAAATATTTATATTTATATTAAATATTTATATAC